TTTGTGCACCTCTCTGCATTTTTTCCTCACCCCTACACACCCTCTCCACCTAATTCTCTGCTCTGCGACTTCCAGGGGTTCCTGTCCAATCAAATTCTGTAGCTTCTTCCTCCTGTCTTCACCGGTCCGTGTTGCTCAGACCGACACAGCTGAACCACGACAGTGCTGCTTCTGTTCTCGTACTTTCATGGATAAAACACAAAATTCCTCACAAGCAGTAGATTTTTTTCTTTCATTCCCATAAACGGGGTGATCAGATCTCACGTCTGTGAATAATGGCGTCATAGCTTGAACATTTTTGTCAACCAGCCGACAGTTTTTATGTAAACCGTGTGCTGATGATGATGTTGCTTCAAACCACATCTGCGTAAGATAAGTATACAAACTGTCTTAGCAGAACACATGGCGGTGACACGGAATTTGAGCTATGAATAGAGTTTTTGCTCCGGGGCATTCGAGAAACGCAGGCGTAAACGACTGACGAAAGCACTTATGTTTTCCTATTTTTTTGCATTTATTACCTACGTTTAGATGTTTACTCTCCAGCCCGTGCGTTGGTCACAATCCTTGTGGTTTGTGGTAATTTTTATTTCATGTCAGTTTGCTTTATTCAACAAAGTGAACTCATTAAAGAAAAATCCAAAGTGAAATCCAGACATGAATTAAAAATTCTTCTTCTCACTTACAAAATTCTGAATAACCAGGTCTCCATTAAATGCTGGTTTACTCATGGTTCCTAAAGTATTGTCAGGAGTAGAACTGGGGAGATGGGCCTTCAGTTGTCGGGTTCCTCTGGTACAGAATCGACTTCCAGCATCTGGTCAAAAGGCAGACACTTTTCACTTTTAAAATTACAGTAGTCCCTCGCTATTTCACGGTTCGTTTTTCGCGGACTCGCCCTATCACGGTTTTTCAAAGTAAGATTGGATATGACACACAATTGGCTTATTGATGGATGAGCCGCACGATCGTCATGGATTTTTTTTCATTTAAAATAAATTATTTTAAATGATTTAGAACCTGCTGCACCTGTATGCAGCCCACAGCTGTGACACTTTCTGCTGCAGCTGATCAGCCGATCTCCATGCAGAGCGGAGAAGTGGGCCTAGCCGAGAGTGCAGTCGGAGGCAGAGAGCTGAAATCATAACACTCTGTGCTCTTTTAGAGCATTGAAAGTTTAGAAACATTGTTTAGAATATTGCAAGTGTGTGGGGAGGGTTTAAAACACCTTTATTTATATATACATACACATATATATACAT